GCGGTTCCCTGGCTCTGCAGTTCTCTGAGACTTCTTGTCACCTGTGGGTCTTCAGTGCGTGGGGGTGTTAAAACCTGTATTTGATGAGGTTGTTCGGTTTCCCTTTTCATTTTTTTGCCAGTCCTGGGGCTTGAACTCAGGGCTTTAGCTTATTGCTCAAGGCTGCCTCTCACAGTGGAGATAAGTCTCACAATCTTTTCCTGTGAATCTGAACCCTCAGATCTCAGCCTCCCAAGTAGCTAGGATTACAGGCACGAGCCACCAGCTCCTGTTAAGATTTCTTTATGTGTTTGTGGGTTCCAGTTTGTTCTCAGATGCGTAGTTTGCTTTAATTTCTCGTACTCCCTGGCTTATCTTCTGTTCCCCTTAGCAGCATCTTCTGAAGAAAATTTTAATGAAGTCCAACTTATTTATTCTTTCCTGGAGTGTAGTTGAACATAAATAGCCATCTCCATCTCCCTTTCATGTTACCTCCCAGGAGACTGGTACTTTTCCTTTTGTGTGTTAGGGTCTCTGATCCATTTTGAGTCAATTTCTGTGAAGGCTTCCCCGCCCAGCCAGTGAGCCTCATCAATGGGATCGACAGAGCACTTATCTGATGCGGACCTGACATTAACAGACCCAGGCTCTTCTCTGAAGTAATTGTTTTTTATTTGTCCTGTCTGCCGATGGTGGCCAGAGCCTGTTTCTTCAAATTCCACCCTGGAACCTCATTTGACTTCATGACACATGATTCTTTCCCTCTCTAGCCAAAGTTCAGTCTTCATCAGAGTTGATTCACTCTTAATTCTAAGAGAGAATCCCAGTCAGCTACTTGGAGGAGAGATAGATGACTGACAGATTTGACTGAGTAGTACTGGGGGATTGAACTCAGGGCCTGGAGCTTGCTGAGCCACATCCCTGGTTCTTGATAGGATTCGGCACTGTTTGCCAGTGCTCCAGTCTCTGCTTCCCCGATGCGGGACGTACAGGGTGTACTGCCGGCCTGGTCTGGAGGAGAGCCTTCTAGCGTCACGTCCCATGGTCAGCCTGGAACACAGCTGCTCTCAGTTGCTGCTTCCTCTGGAGCCTGGTGCTGACCTCTCGGAGCCTGGGTATCCCCAACACTGAGCTCAGGGCCTGGTCTTGGGGGACACAGCACAGTCCATCTTTGCTTGCTTTCAGCCAGAAAATAGGTCCCGGGTCACGTGACCCTCTGAGAAACATGATGCCGGCTTTTTACACATCTTTAACATCATCTTAGTCTTCTGAAGTGAGATGTAGAAGTATTACTTCCTTTAAAAAATTTTTAAAAGTATTACTTCCTTTTACCAACTGGTTTAAAAAAATAAATGCAAGCCAGGCACCAGTGGCTCATGCCTGTAATCCTAGCTACTCAGGAGGCTGAGATCTGTGGATCACGGTTCAAAGCCAGCCCAGGCAGGAAACTCCGTGAGACTCTTATCTCCAATAAACCACCAGAAAACTGGAAGTGGTGCTGTGGCTCAAGTGGTAGAGCATTAGCCTTGAGCTGAAGAGCTGAGGGACAGCACTCAGGCCGAGTTCAAGCCCCATGACTGACAACAACAACAAAAAAAAGATATGAATACAAAAACCAGTCATTAAACTGAGTGGCAGTTTTACAATGAACTATTTTGTTGGGGGAAAAGCTTGAGCTCAGGGCTTGTGCACTGCCTCAACTTTTTTTTCCCCTCAAGGCTGGTGCTCTACCACTTGAGCCACAACTCTACTTCTGGGTGTTTGGTGGTGAGGTGCAGATAAGAGTCTAGGACCTTTCTGCCTGGGCTGGCTACCTGTGTAGCTAGGAGTACAGGCAATAGGTTACTAGGAATTTTGATGGAAGTTGATGGGCTTGCCAATCTCCTACACTGAAATCTGCTTTTGATGAAAGAAACATTCCCCTCGCATGATGTGACTGCTTCTACTCATGCCCTGGAACAGCTGTCAGCTGACCAACTTCCTTTACCTCTCCTCCCTCTAACCACAGGAGTTTATGTTCAGAACATTTCTCTTATCAATATGGCATCCCAAAGGCTCTAGGGACAAGGGGCAGGAAAGCACAGGACCTCACTGGATGAGACACAAGCTCAGAGATAAAATCAGGAAGGTCAAGATGTCAGATGCATTATAGTCTTTTTAAAAGTAGAATATAGTTTTTGTTGGGTGGTTGTACAAAGGGGGTTCGATTGTGCAAGGCAGGTTATGAGTACAATGCATCTTGATCACTGTCAACCCTTCTAACACTGTAGACTCCCTGGAAGTGGTGCCAAGGCCTAGAGGATTGTCCTGGGGTTCCTCCCTCCAGAGTCTGGGACCTCCACCCCAGTGAACAGGAGGCCCTGGCCAGGCAGCCCTCCACTGGGGCAGCCCCTCCCCCAGGGACACCCTGTCTTCTCCATTCTGCATGTGTGGGTATGCCTCCCTGGAGCCCCTTCCTGAAGACTTGCTGGCCCAAGATACAGCCTCACATGCAGTGTCGGGTCCACGCCTCTGAGGTCCACGTGCCATACAATATGATGAGGCCCAGGCCTGGTCCACAAGACACAAATGGTGTGGGACCCACACTCAGTCCGTGGCCAGGGCAACATGTGTAAGACCACAGCAAGCTCAGCTCTCTGAAAAGGTGACTTTCATATTTCATCCTTTCACCTACCAGCTCAAACGGAAGCAAGGCAATCAGCTCACTTCTCATTTCTGTGGACCCAGAACTGAATTTGCACTCAAGAAAAACCTATTATTTTACCTCCTACATTTCTTTTCTGTTTACAGAAGACATTGAACACAACTGTTAACTTTTTACCAAAATTTATTTAACTTCCCCCCGCCCCCCAAAAAAGAAAAACCTCCTATTGTCCATATGTGCACAGCCCAAACCCCGGGGCCTGCTGTGGTCCCCTGCCTGGCATCGAGTCAGTCCCAGGAGCCCAGCCTGGCCCGGGGGCACACGGCAAGCCTGGCTCTTCGGATTGACATACATGCTGCTCCAAACCCTTCTCAATCTCCTACCTCTCATGCTCCTCTCAGCCACCATGCTGAAGACCATGACCAGAGACTGCGGCTGTGGTCCTCCTGGCACAGTTCTCTCTCCCGTCCCCACAAGCAACCTCATAATTACGGCACAATTATTGTTGGGTGGGGTCAGGCTGCATGATCTGAGCTGGGCCATTTATCTTTGTGTCTCAGACTTCGGGTGGAGGAGGGGATGGTCAGAGCCCTTTGCTTCCCCAGATGCACACTGGAGGGGCCCTATCCTGGAGGCCATGGTCCAAGCCACACCTGCTGGGTCTTCCAGTCTCTGTAGAAGCCATAGGGCCCTTGCTCTGGGCTAAAGGCCCCTCCCTGTCAGCTGACTGCACCCTCTCAGGGCGAGGTCTGAGTCCCATGCCCTCCAGGAGGCCAAGAACCCAGAATCCAGCTCTCATACGCATCTGTGAAGAGTCATGAACCCAGCCCCTGGTGACTTGCCTGTTTCTCCACCTGCATGGTGGCGTGGCCTGTAATCCTGCTGAGGCCACTTCATTCGTACTGACTGAACTGTTATTGAGCGGATCCCAGGTGAGGATACCATGTGGTGACGGCTCTTTATGAACTACCTGGTGCTGCTCCTCTTGGACCATCCCCTGGGCGGGGCAGCCTTCCTGAGACTCAGGAGCCCTGCTGCCTGAACACACCTGCAACCAGCTTGAGAGAAGGCCAGAGGGACTCTTGGGGGCCTGGCCCTCTCAACCTATGGTGGCTTTTCTTGGCTCGGGAAGGGCTCTGTGCCCTCGTTGGGGTCTCGAGGTGACAGCCAGAGCAGAGCTGGAACTCAGGGAAGGCAGGGGACATGGCCTAGCTGAATGGCCTCTCCCCGCCGGCCAGGGAGAGCTATTCCCCATGAGCTCTTCAGCCATCAGAAGCCGCTCAACTCCCCATGTGGCCTAGAGAAGATCAACTATCATTTGTTTAAGAAAAAATAGGTTTCTTGAGGCAATGATAAAGCCCCCAGCACTAAGCTGTACTCCTAACTCTGAGAGGCTGGCATGGCTTTATTTTTTTAAAAGATAATAACAAGGCTGTGTTCAATTTTCTTCCTGCAGAACTAGACCATCGAGGGGGGAACCCATGGCATCCACGCTGCACTGCTTGTACCAGTGGAACTAAGAAATCAAACCCCGGATGTCTGGAAGGCCACCAGCTCCAGTGCTCAACACCTCCCCCTCCCCATCTGACTGCAGCCCTCTGGGGAGGACACAGATGGCAGCCTCTGTCCTGCAGCACTGGCCTGGTGGGGGCCACCCACCCCCAAGGCTGTGCAGGGCACCTCAGAGGAGTAGATGGGCCCCGAGCCCCAAACAGGCAAAAGCTAAAGCCAACCCAGTTTGGATGCCATGTCCACAGGTCGGAGTCTCTGTAGAGTTTAAGTGAACAGGGTACAGCGCCACCTTTCTCTCCTGAAAGCCTGCAGTGCACCACGGCCAGCTGAGCCTGTCAGCAGGCCTGGCTGCTTCACCTGTTTTTCTATATTCTGGACAATCCACAAATGGTCTCCTTGGCCTGAGGACCCTCACATGATGGAAGTGATAGGCATTTGAGGTTAATTATCTGCGGATGAGCTCTGTGAGCCTAAATGTGAGAACCCCGTAACAAGTCTGGTGAGATTGTTAGTGGTGATGTCAGAGACATGGCACCATGGGTGGTTGGAGTGAGGCCAGGGTGAGCTCAGGAGGCTGAAGCCTGCACAGGGAACAGGACAAACAATTCTTGTTGCCTGAGCAGTCACAGCTACCTGACCTTGAATTGCACCCAGCTGTCCGGCACAGAGCCCGGTCCAGCTAATGCTGAACACAGGCCTCTAGGGACTGAGTGAACAGCCACTACCAGGCTGAGATTTGAAGGGAACAGAATTCAAGGAGCTCTTCTGGAGACCATGACCGCATCAGCAGCTGATGCTTTCCAGGGGGTTTCTGTGAAGATTCACGTTTGTTCCAGTCATCTTTCAAGTGCTGCCACATGCTGTTATGGCAGAGCCGCAGCTGCCCTCGGGGCCCCAGCTGGACATGGCCGCAGGCCTTCCTCCTGTGGGACTTGAAGTCCTGCCTGGGTCAGGTCAGTGCAGACCCCACACAAGCAGAGCGCCACCCGTGGCAGAACACCCGTAGCCTCTGCTCAACTCACAGGCGACTCCTCCCTCGGGGAACCATCCAGACAACAGACACGAGTGTTACCTGGCCAAGGGGCAGCAACCCAGTGGCAGGGACGCTGACCCTGACGCACTCAGCCCCCCTTAGGCTCCTGAGCAACTCGCAGTGTCCTGCTTAAGTCTGCAGGACTGGCTTTTGCCTGCACGGTGTTTGGGGCGGAGGCCCCTGCCTGGCAAGGTTGTCTAGCATTCACCCTTCACTCCCATTAGCCTGGGGATGATGCTGGGGCCTTTCGGGGTGCAAGAGACGAAGATGTACTCCTGCTGCGACGCCCAAAGGTTTAACAAGTCTGTTGGGTCCTGTGACCCCTAAAGATAAGGAGGCAGCAGGCCTCAGAAAGGGGCTGCAAAGCCACGGGGTACCATTTCATTCTCTCCGGCTGTTCTTCAAGCGCCCCGTCTGCCTGCGCCACCCCCCTCTCCTCCCCGCTTCCAGGCACATTCTCAGCTGAAACTGGGTTGTGGCCCCTTGGTCAGGCTCCGCTCGTGTCCAGGACGGCACGGCCTCGGCCGGCTTCCACCGTGCCTCCGCGGGCGTCCTGACTTTGAGGATGCTGGTGGCGGGAAACGCAGCAAGCACAGCGGCTCAGTATTGCGCAGGTCCTGACGGCTCCTCGGCCCTGCGCGCTCTGACTCAGGAACACTCCTCCCTCGGGCCACCCACGCGACAACGGGGCGTTCTCTACGCCATCCACACCGCCGCCAGCGCGGGTTTCAGTCGCGAGGCCCGCACCGGGCCTCCGAGCCTCTCAGCCGGGCCTCCGGGCCTCTCAGTCGGGCCTCCGGGCCTCTCAGTCGGGCCTCTCAGCCGGGCCTCCGGGCCTCTCAGCCGGGACCCCGGGCCTCTCAGTCGGGCCTCTCAGTCGGGCCTCCGAGCCTCTCAGCCGGGCCCCCGGGCCTCTCAGCCGGGCCTCTCAGCCTCCGGGCCCCCGGGCCTCTCAGCCAGGCCTCCGAGCCTCTCAGCCGGGCCTCTCAGCCTCCGAGCCTCTCAGCCTCCGGGCCTCTCAGCCAGGCCCCCGGGCCTCTCAGCCGGGCCCCCGGGCCTCTCAGCCGGGCCCCCGGGCCTCTCAGCCGGGGTGCGTCTGTGGCTGTCTTCACCCTTCCGGGCTTCTCCCAGGCTCGGCGGGACGCCAGGAGGCGCCTGCCTGCTCACCCCGGGGCGGGACATCCTCCCCGCCCAGCTCCGGTCGGCGGCAGCCAGCCGGGAACGGCGCCGTCGCGCGCCGCTGGGCATGTCGGGAGAGCGGCGCGGACCAGTGGCGTCA